GGCAAGGTTCCAGGGGTTTGAGGCGGCCAATATGGCAGAACCATTGGCAAGGTTCGAGGGGTTTGAAGGGTTTGAGGGGTTTGAGGGGTTTAAGGGGTTTGAGGGGTTTGAAAGGTTGCACTTTCCAGGCCAAACGCTCCCTCTGAATCCCTAGAAAAAAATTTCTTTCATCATTTCTTGTGCAAATTCTGCTCCCTCTGAATCCCTAGAAAAATACCTTTTTACCTTTTCTTTCATTTCTGGTGCAAATTCTGGCTCCGAACACCTGCTATTAGGAACACGTGCAATGCCACACGCTCCCTAGAAAAAATTTTTTTCTTTCATTTCTTGTGCAAAGTCTGGCTCCGAACACCTGACCCCGCCACGGCTTTTCCCAATCTAAGTCTGGTCCAAAACGAGCCAGTTTGTTTCCATTTGTCTCGCTCATCTTGGCCCCGAAGACCTGACCTCGCCACTCTCATACCTGCAACATGTGTCTGACCCCTAAGTGACGGTACTCCCTTGCGCGCTCCCCCCTTCTTCGACCGGGGTCGGCGGATTACAATAATATGATATAATATAATATAATATGTACAGGAAACCATGGGACAAAATAGATATAGGAACAATTACAAATAGGGACTGCCATGGACTACCCTTTTACAGCTTTCAAAGCATTCATCGTTAGGTGGAACTCTTTGGTGGGTCATCCATGAGGCACTGGGTTTGGCGGAACCGTGGGACGCGTGGGAAGCGTGGAGACAGAAATCACCCGTGCGAGCGTGGCGGGTAATGGTATGAATGACGTGACGAGTTGGATGGTCAAAGGAAGTCAAAGAAGTTCCAATCCATGGAATTGGTGGACATTGTATCGACATCCCCGGTAGTCGATGGGATTGTTCATTTCGGGACTCCCCCCCCAATCGCAGAATGCCCTGACCGTGACGCAGCAGCTGGAGCAGCTGGGAGAGTTGGGAGCACAGTTGGCTTTTAAGTATATTGATTCTTGGCTGAATATAGAGTTCAGATACCCCGAGGTAAATGATATCAAGCTGACCCTTCTATTTTCTTCCCGTGGGACACCGGTTGGGGTCGTGCGGTGAGAGGTGAGTGTGGGCCATGCTGGTGAGCCATCAGGCATGGGCCAGACTGCTGGATGGCCACCTGGATCTTTGCTATGCTGAAGGTCTGACCTGCTGAAGGAAGGTCTTCACAATGGCCTAAGTGGTACTGGTCCGACTTCAATGCTACATGTTTAGAGGTTCGTGTCTGATCGAGACCCAACACTCCTCTCAACTCACATTCTAAGCTGGCCAAAAGGAACGGCCAGCTCTGCTCGAGTTGCAGCTCAGCTCGAGTTGCTTTCCTTTCAAGTAGAACTCATTGAAACATGTCAGAACTGCAATCAGACCCTATCGCAGACATCTGATGGCACCCTTACTCGCAGAGTCTTCTCCACTTGGAGCCAGGATGGACTTGGCTTTTCTGTTCATGGGTATCCTCAGGTCGATGTGGTGCCAGGGTGTCTCAGAGGGTCTCAGAGGGATTTCAAGGTCTCGGACCGTCACGTGGGGGGCTGAGGTCGGTCCTGAGTGCGCATCGTTTGGGGCTCATGAGCGGAAGGTTTGGGCAGTAGGTAGGCATCGATAGGCCATGGTTTTGCGCTGGACGTTCCACGCTGGCCATATTTCCATGGGAGGGTCCGTGGCTCCGCTTTGAGCGTGTGAGGCCGAGTTGCTGCGATCACACCCTGGGCCATGCCACGTATGAGGTGCCGCCATGCCATGCTATTCTTGCTAGCTTGACAGTTGGAAGGTAGTTGACAACTTGTGTTCTTGTTGTGCGAAAGTTTTTCACGGTCGTGAATAGGGGTATCTCACTTTGAAATGGCTCACATGGTCATTGGCAGCCGAGACTGGTCCAGGTCAACTTCTTTCCTTACTCAGTGAGTGCCAGACTCAGTTGGAGGTATTGCAAGTGATGGTTCTTTTGAGCATCAACAAGGACATGCAAACCTCGTGAACCGCGCCGATTCCGACACTCAAACTTTGCCAGTCCGAGACTTCTGGGTCACATCATCCTTGTATTTGTCTTACTTTTCATTATTCCGATAGGCACCCACATCCAAAGAGCCTCATTGACGATGATTGATGTGATTTAGACTCATGACTCATGTCACGTGCACTGCGGTATCCTCCCGTCGGCATGTCACGTGCGGTTCAAGAGATCCAAGAGGGATCGTTGGAGAGTCATTGCACAGTCACCTCCTTGCACAGCCATGGCCATGTCATACTCTCGTGCTCTTCAGGTGGCTCAGCAACTGAAAAAGCGGTCACACACTCCAACATACTCCAACCACATCCAGTTGATTTGTTTCGGAAGTACTCCGAGCTGAAAGCATTTTGAGATGTAGAGCACATCCCTGAATGAAGAAACATGAAGCTTTCGTCATATCATGTGCTTGCTGCCTTGCCGAGTTCTTTTGGATTTTAATATAGGAAGAACCTTGACAGTCTTCTTCCAGGCAACTAGCCTTGTCCCATCTTGTCACGGCCTTCTTGTGGGCACAAAAGACAGACCTAGCTTATTGGCACGGCCTTAGCTTATCGGCACCTGGGCATGCGGGAATTTCGGGGATGCGTGCCGTTATCCCATGGAGGGAGGAGTGGATGTTTTTGGCTCCACCCTCCATCGGTTATGCACCGTCATTGAAATCGTCCCAAGATCCACGTATTTTTTGTTGAAGCGTTGACAACATGACAAAAGCTTCAATCAGGCAGAATTGAGGGAGTCTTTGAAATGATCCGAACATTCCATGTTCACGCATGGGTCGAAGCCCCATGCTAAAGCCACTGGCTGCAGCTGTAGGGACTCACAACTCACAACAGTACATAGCTTGGCTTCATGGATGTTTAAGAGTTTAAGGTTTTGGGATTCTATCAGGCCTAAAGGCGAAGCTTAAATCCCTGAGGCGATTCTTCCGCATGACACATTTAATGCTTTGGAGGTCGATCGCCTGGTGGATCTCGAGGAGGTGGTGGGCGAAGTCGGGAGCTCCTCCGACTCCGATTCGGGAGAGGAGCGGATCTCCTGGCGGCTCCGGAGGCGGCGGGATCTGGGGAGGCTGGGGCAATCAGGAGCATCGCGGTTTTGACCCCACCACGGGGCCAGCAGAAGGACTTTGTTTGATCAGTTCGGAATGATCCACCTGGTCACGTTTTTGGGGTGATTTTTTAGTTATTGACCTTATTGACATATTTCAAGTTGTTTCACTCTCAGCGGGGGGGTCTGGCCAGTTTCGGGGTGGTCCATTTGAGGCTCATTTGGAGAGTCATCAATCACCATGAGAGACTGGATGTTTTGACGCCCTTGTCGTCTCAACTCTTACTTAGAGCGAATTATAGCCATGAGCCATTAACTAGGGTGACCATAGTCATGCATTGCTTGGAATAGAATGGAATAGATTGAATATGATTTAATCGATGGTGCTGCCAATGATCCAGAGTCGTATCAACGTCATAGATGGCGGTTGGTGCCTGTTTGCCATGACGACTGTACATTAAGACCCAAGGCATGTTTCTTGCAGCAATACTGGTGGCAAGCTCACCAACCCTCTCACCCTGCAGGGGCCTTGGAGCTTTTGGGGACCTATGACCTATACAAATCTCTATAAAAACCTATAAAACCTTTTGAGACTTGGTGACTGACTCTAAACTCCAACTTCAAAGCTCGATGGCCAGCCTCATCTTGGGCGGCTTTGTGATGGTCGCAGCCCTCGCCTTCTCCAGCCGCAGCTGGAATTTTGGGGCTGCCAGCAGCGATGCCTGGATGGATTTTGGACGGTTTGTCATTAGGAGAGGATTTTGTGGATGACCGTGCAGTTCTTTTATGAGAGCAACTTTTGGATCCAAGCCCTGGCAGGAGGAAAGAGAGCAAGAAGACCCACACAAAAACTGCCAAAGAAACCAACGTTTGATTGGAGCAGGATGGTTTTGCAGGTCGGGAAGTGGTTTTGCACCTTCCAGCATTTTGTACCGGATTGGCTGTAAGTGTGTGATAGGGCAGTCCAGGAGGGTGCGTTTGCTAACACTGCCGAGGATCTCTCAGCAATGCAAGTGAAGACTGGTCTTTATCCTGATGAGTGGAAGACCGTGACAGAGGAGAGAGGGTGCGCATACAGGTGTACAGATGATTTTAACAGCCATGGTCTCCACCTCAAATTGAAACAAACCAGTCAGAATCCAGTTCTTCAAAGTGACCCTTTGAGGACCCCTCAGTGACCCTTTCGAGACTTTAAGTGACTTCAAATGGGGATCTCAAGAAGTCACTTTACAGAACCAGGATGTCGTAGCTCTGAATGTTTGATGTTCCCCCCAGCTCCCTGCCTTGGAAGGTTAGATCGCCATCTCCATGATTTATTTTTCTCGGAGGCAACGAACCGGTGTGTCCCTGCGACAGGCGCCATCAACAGGTTCCAGCAATGGGATCATTCCAGAGAAGCTACTTGGAGCAAAAGAATCACAAGTTATCCCTAAACGTCCAAAGCTGCAGCTCATACATGCAGCTCATTTTTGCTGGCTGCCATAAGTAGGTATCTCTTTTTGGCCACAGGAGGTTGCCCTCTTTGGTGCATGTTTTGGAACACAATTTGAAGACCCCTGCACAATGACTGAGCAAACGCATCCAGTGTTCCAAGAATTAAATATATTAATATATATATATATATGTGTATAATATATTATATATTATGTTAATACATTTTTTTTTACCTCCACTGTAGCTGGACGAAAAAAAGGGACCATTTGTTGCCGAGCAATGGAGCCATCCAGCCATGTCGCCTCGTTCTGTAGCGTCCGCCCATGGTTTTGTGGAGAACGAAGCCTCTTCCCCCGCCTGTTGCAGATTTCTCATCGATCCGAGGATTGGCTCCGTCAACGACTTGACCGGCGGCAAGGACGCGTCGCCGCGCCTCACCGAACCTCGGGGGTGGCCGGGAGGTCGACCTGGACGACCGATGTTCCGTAGGCGACCAAATTGGTTTAAGTCTACTGAAGGACAGGGAAAGGCCCTTTCTGAAAGATCAGTAGAGGAGATTTCCTAACTTGGCACAACGCCGAAGGACATGGTCTATCGAGGGGGGACCTTGCAGCAGCGCACTGTTTCATTGTTCCGCCATTCCTGGAATTTCTTAGTCCTTCTGGTGACCGTTCTTCTTCCAGTCAGACAAGATGCCATTCCTCCAACGAACTCCTCGCCACCTCGCGGCGGAGAAACCTTGCTCGGGTCTCACCAGAGTCCGCCGTTCGGTTCTTTCCGGCCTCGTCCGGAAGGGCGTGAAGATCTTCTCCACCGATCCCTTGGCTCGGCCGGAGAACTTGATGGATGGCAACCGATGCGCCAACGATGAGGATGCGCAGAGCTCGAGCGTACGCGTCGGACGCGGACGCACGGGCCGGAGACTGCTGGAAACGGGCCGGACTGCTAAGGTCTCTAATCACTAGTCATCGGGCTTCAAGGTCACAGAAAGGCAGAGGTGGACAACAGATTGGACCTGCCAGATTTGCAGGAACTTTTGGGCGACCTCTGCTACAAGAAGTGCTCCTTGCTGACGAATGGCGAGGCTTGGTCTCCAACCAAGCGCCCCGGATGTCGCGTTCCGCATGAACACCGGCGCACGCGATTCCCGCGCGATATGGTTCCCATGGTGGAATCGGTGTGAGGCCCCGGTGCGTTTGAGCGCCTTCTCCTGTGGGAAGTCCAGAGGCTTTCAGGACTTCTTCAAGAGCAAGGTCGGGAGTGATGGAGTGGAAAACCGAAGACTCAGACGCGAACGAACGGGTGGGGCACTTCTGCAGAGGTGGGGGCCAGTGATGGTGGATCAAGCAGGGAATGGGCTTGCGACAATCCAGCATGTTGGCTTTAAGATGCTTTAAGTTTGACAGTCCTTGGAATCAGATGCAAAGGGTGTTGATTCCATTGCAGGATGAAACATAGGTATTCCATGGTATTCCGGCATTCCTTTCATTCATGTCATGTTGAGATTGTTATCTTTGTGCTGACTGGCTTCCCTTTTGGCTAACGAAATGAAAGTGTCTAGCAGGGAGATTTGGATCTGATTGCTTGGGCCATCATGTGTGGTGTGTCTGGGCAGGTTGGTCTCCTAGTCCCTTGCGAGGGCGACTTGGCTTGCAGACTCAAGGGGCTGAGACCTCAAAGCTGCTGACTCAAGGGGCTGAGACCTCCGATCCACATACCCTTGCGAAGGCATTGGGTTTTGGAGGGTCTCTGCCCACTTTCTCAGAAGATACGTGGATCCCCAAACAGGGCAGCCTAGTGGGCAGCCTGTATATTAGATACATAATTATACTGTTACCAGTAGCGAACTGTAACATTACTCCCAGTAGTAAGGCCAGGAGCTATTAGTAGCGTCCTTGCTCCTAGTAGCGATGCCCCTTGCTCCTAGTAGCGTCCTTGCTCCTACCCCGCCCACGCGCGCGCGCGAAAAGGTACTTAGTAGCTTCTTGTTTCAATTCTAATTAAATTCTATTTGTTTTTTGTTTCTGATAGCTTCTTGTTCCTACTAGTAAGGCCAGGAGCCCCTAGTAGCGTCCTTGCTCCTAGTAGCGATGTATCCCTTTTAACGTCCGATCTGCGATGGATCCGATGGACTCCGGTGGATGACCAGCCAGGCTACGACGTCTCGGGCGATGACGCCGGCCACGGATGCCCACATAAGGTGGGCACCTGCCTGGTGAACGAAGAGTTCTCCCTTGGCAAATGCGACTTGGAGAATTCTCTTTATGATTGGATACATGTTGAATTGTGTTGAACAGTGGCAATGTGCGGCATAATTATTGGTCTCCGGAGATTCATCAATCCGGACAAAAGAAAGATAACAATTCCATTCACTTGAGCAACGAATTCACAGAGGCTCAAGCATACATGAATTACAGACTTGCAGACCCGTCTCAATTCATTCTCCAAGTTTGGAGACCCACAGGAGGGTATTTGGACACACCTCTTGCCGTCCTGGTTGTCGTGGGATATTTCCACACCAGATCGTGTGGTCACCCAGCCCATCAAATGTTCAGAACCTGGGAAGTAAGATACTCCCTACTCATCAGAACCTTCCCTTTCCTCCCCACGCAGCGAATCTCTCATTTTCGGTGAATCTGCAAGTTTTCCAGTTGATGTGAGGGGATGCTCGTGAATGGACCACGCAAGCTGAACAGCGCATTCCTTTCTTTCTCATGGCCAGGTCAAAATGTTTGTGGGTCGTTGTTAGATCTTCTCAAAAGGATTCTTTTGTTTTTGATGTTGGTTCTAGCACAACAGTTCTGTGGCCTTGATTCCAATGTTGGGTAAACAACTGGGCGCCTTGAAGTGTAACGGGGTGTTTCGAACCCAGCCTCCCTTCAGCCAAGTAGCCCTGAGCTGAGGCTACAAGCGATGTGATCAGTTGACAGATGGTCAATTTCCATATCGAACCAGTGAGGGCCTAAGATCTCGTCACTAGGAGTGGGCGGGCCACTCCGGGGCGAGGAGCTGAAAAGAAGACCAAGTCATGTGGCATAAGACAAGGCTGTGCTCTTTGCAGCACTGAAACACCGGGTTGTCAGGGTTGAAGCGAATTGCCCACCGCCGGGTAATTACTGTACATTCCAGCCAAATCCTTCCAGCGGATCGTTGAGTGCCTCTTCTGCCACCTACTCCGAGCATCTCCGAGCCACAAGGTGTGACTCGCACCTGGTGTAGATTCTAGATCCATCCCAACCACCCCATGGCTCTGCTTTCAGGCGCTGATACATGCTGCAAGTCCAAGGATTTGATCGTGCCTTGATCGAAAGCCAACCAGTGGGACCAGACAGCTGCGGTTGGTGGTTCACCCACTTTTCCGAACATGTTCTACTGCACCAGGAATATCTTATTGCATGCCCAAGCAGCAAGAGCAAGACAGGGAAATGACTGAAATGACTAACTAGCAATCATGAGTTTCATGGAAGGTTACTTCTTCTTTTGGAGAGTTTTTTTACAACTTTCTGTGTAGATGGATGTCGTACACCCGTGAGTTCACAACAATCACCGGCTATGTTATGGTTCACTTACTGGCGGCATAACATAACAATACTATTTGACCAATTTGACTTATATAGTTCGTTGTTGGCTTTTGAATTCAACCGGGCGCACGTGCTAGACTCTTAGACAAAACCACGTTCGGACCCTGCAAAGGCAAAGGACGCTGCAAAGGGGTTGTAGATTGGACACTGCAAAGGCTGGCCAAGCAAATCAATTCATCATATTCTTATCTTAATGATGCCGCCGTCCGCAGTGAGGAAGGAATGTTGTCCGGCTCATACTTGTTCTGGTCTGACGAAGAAATCCTGCCCCACCCCAACCACTGGAACCCTCGTGCTTGTGGAGGAAATCATTTCCATCCTTCCCCCAGCCAAGATTTCCCTGCAAGTTGACGCCATAAACCAAAGCCATTTGAATGAGCCCCTTGTCCCGTGAGGAATGCATTGAGCCATATCGAAGCAAGTTCAGCACCGCCTTCAACGTGGGTGGCGGGCAGGGTAGTTTCGCCAAGAGCCATTCGCCAGATGCAAAGTGGCCCGACTGCAGGCCATGCAGGCCATGGAAGTAACAAGAAGCTACTAGTAACAAAGGGCATCGCTACTAACGGAGCAAGGACGCTACTAGGGGCTCCTGGCCTTACGCACTACTAGTAACAAGGACGCTACTAGGAGCAAAGGTAAGGGATGTGAGTTGCCTCAGTGTGGACCTTCGGGGCAAAGGGCCTTCGGGCCTGGGTGGACATGTAACACTGGAACAAACTCAAACCATGCGCCTTGGGTGTACCGTCCACAATATTTATAACATTCTATAACAACATTAACACTTCTATTTTAACACATAGTTGATATATACATATATCATACCCGGTATATGTATAGCTATGTAATACGGCACCACCTGAATGAGCAGAATGAGTCTTCGACATGGCCAAAACCGCAGTCTTCGTCGTGGCCAAGGTTCACAGAGCTTAGCCATGCATCGACAGCAGCATAGATGTAAAGATGCAAGTGAAGCGAAGTGCCTCGAGTTGTAGAGGTGTGTACCAGGCAGCCTCCAGTTCTCAATTCGATAGACAGGGTGTCCCGTTTCACCTGAAGCTAGATATACACCAGCAGGTTTTGGGCCTCTTTTGCGAACTTGTTGGATTCCTCATCCATTGCGAGGGCCACCCTGTTAGATCTTACATGCCAATCCTCGAATGCCAGAAGTGCCCGTTCGACGAATGGCTGTGGCGAGCGTTCGGTGCTCGCACGGAATGGCCGAGCCCCAAAAAAGATTGACCGCTGAAATCGCTGAAACGGCCGGGGACCCGAGCGCGAACCCGTTGCAGACGATGAGTGAGAGGACAAATCACCGCAAGAAGTCGCAAGGTCGGTCCAGCTACATGTCGCTTGCAGCCAAGCAGCTGCACCTAGGCCGATGATCACTTTCCAGTTTTTTTTCTTAACACCTTTGGGGCCAGTAAAGCATGACATTCTGGTATTCTTGTCATCGTCATACTCATGGACTCATTTTTAACAGTACCCTGGGAAGGGCAGTATCCATAATACAATGAATAGTTCTATAATGTTCTATACATATGCATCAATATACACCTGCCATAACGATGACATTTCGTTTCAGCGCCCTTCGTGTCAGATGAGCTCGGAAGTGTGGATCTTCGAGAATGGTGTCCAGGTCTTTCAGCAGCCGGGGATCTCAGCGTGCCGTCAGGCTCCAGCGGCGCAAGAAAGATGGAGCCGAGAATGCAGGGCCAAAGAGCGATGGCCTCCAACCTACTATGGCATGCTATGGCTGCAGATACCCCCGCTACTCCCAGAGCTCCACCAAATTTATTCCATTGTAGTTGTGCGGGCACCACGGAGTGTAGAAGCAGCGGTGCTCCTTCCAGCATGCATAATTCTCTTTGTCAAGGTTCAAGCGATCCTTTTTGCAGCTGCTGGTGCATGCCTCCTGCTGCTGCTGCAGTCAACAAGGAAGCGGGCCAAGCACCAAGAGACTCCGACGACAGAGGCTCTAGATGATTTAGATGCACCAAAGAAGGTGGCAAGCTATGTCAGGCGCACACACACACACACATGGGAATCACCGAAAAACATCCTTTGACACAATCCATCTCTGCCTATGAACGCCCTTTTGCTGTGATCCATTGCTGCTGAGAAGTAAAGAAAGAGCCAGCATCCAGATACTAGCTCACTAGCAAAATCTCCTCCCACAACAGCAGAAGAGTGTCATTGTGGCACTTTGGAAGCATCGAACAAAGCATTTTTGGTTTGTGACACCCTATGACCCAGGTCTGGCCAGCCTCCAAAGCTGAGCCATTACTGCAGGTCGGCCGTGAACGGAAGAAGCAAAACACCGACACAACTAAAGGCATACATAGCCTATAGATGCAGCCTTTGGCTATCTTAAGTTGATCCTGGTGCAATTTATAGCAATTCCACCCTACTGTATTTATATAGCCTAGCCTTTGGCATCTTAGAGCCCTTTGGACCGAAAACCCTACCTACTCGCCTGACTCGCCTGACTTCAGCGCCGCCCTCGACGCACGGGCCGCGAAACTCGCCGAGGCGGTGTAAGAGACGGGAGCAAAGCCTCTGAGCGTTTGGTTTGCCAAATGTGGGGTGCTTTCAGAGTGCTTTCATTGATTCATCCAGGGCAGCACGTCGCTGTTGGTCGTCGCAGCTGTTCCACGGTCGTGGGAAATTATGGGTTGGGAACTACAGCGCCTGGATTCAGCGAAATGGACACTGGGAAGATCTGGGAAGTGTAAGCACTGCAATGGTGATGCACGTAACTACCAATAATTATATTTATGATTAGAATAGGAGATTCCCATGGCGGCCTTCACAACTGGATTGCATGCCACTTCTATTTGATCATGAGAAATCACAAGGCGAATGAAGAGAGAAGTGAATCACATTTGCCTCGGGAGTCTTACCTCGGAGTGCAAGACCTATGGGAGAGGGAGATCATGTGTAACACCGATTTGAACGAACAGGGCAGACAGAGGGTTTGCAGCAGATAAGTTTGCAGCAGAGGGCTCTGAGTGAAGGAGAAGGGTGTGTAGTGCACATTGAAAGTACCCGAAGAGGCTTTTAGCTTTGGCGCCGTAGGGTCGCCGTAGGGCGTGGCCTCCGCCACGCAGATATTTTCTAAGATTACTTGGGTTGCGTGGCAAATAGCTGGAGTCCGAGACTGATCGTTACTTGCCACGTCCATTGAACAAGTTGGGTCAAAGACGTTTTCAATTTTTTGCACATCCTTCACAATGCATATCAAACACTGCATATCACTGCATAGAGCCATCAAATAGTTGCTTACTTGCTTTGGCCCTTGAGCAATTCTTCCAGCCGGAACCCGAGGCATGTCACCCAGGGCATTTTCGTTTGGGAGCATCCAATGTGTTGGTAAAGGTGTCATGGGTGACATGAAGATGGGCGGCTGCAGGTTGAGGTGGTACATGTGTGGCGCTGTATCATTGGGCTGAAGGTTCCGGAAGGCACGTGGGGGCCGCTTATGGGCCGACGGTCGGACGACCGTGCCTTGCCCCGAGCTTTGGACGGGGAGGATACAGCCGCACTGTTCCTGCTTTAAGTGCCAGACTTGGCAGATCTCTTGGGCTTGAGGGCCAAATTCTGACCTCGCCTAGTGAGATGGAAAGACAAAAGACGTGCCGGCATCCCCTCTATGCTGATGATGTGGCACATGGCGAAGCCATGGATTTTTGTGGCGAAATGGGGTGCCGATTCACGCCAATGGTGAACATGGCTTGTGGGACTTCTAAGATGTGTGTGAACTGATCAGGTGCCATCGCGTGAGACTGGACAAGGCCGCATCAAATGGAATCCTTAAAGTGGCCTTCGGCTCAAGAGCCCACACATATCAAGACCGACTAGATCGTGAGGTGCTGGTCAGTCCCCAGGCCTGTGATTGGTTCAGGATTACATATTCATCGCATTTTGCAGTAACATTATTCTCAGAAGCACAAGAAGCCATCCTGGACAAGAAGAAACAAAGGCATACAAAGGCATGTTTTTGTCACTGAACATCACAGAAGTGGGCACCCAGAGAAAGTAGGTGACCTCCAACTCTGAGCATCTCAAAATATCTCAAACACCCCTGCTGCTTCGGTTAGAAGCCACGCTCCCAGAGCCTCCACCGGCGATGGAGCCATGGAGCCCCTCGCCGGTGCTTCGAGGCGCCCGGAGCGCGCCGCGCGGCTTTTCCCGCGCGGCGGCGCCACGGGCGCCACGCGCCAGTGGGGAGGCTCAGGAGTTGAGGATCATTTGAAGAGTTGGAGAGTTGAGAACGGATCTGAGACTGAAGTTCTATGTTCTCAACACCTCGAGAAGTTGAAGTTGAGACACTCTACACATCTCTAACACTCGGATTTTTTTGTTTGTCTAGTTGCTTGCAAGAACAAGCAAGCAATGAGCAAACAATTGGACTCACGCAGAACGTGCAGTTTTGGTGAAGAGTCCGAGGAAAGGACGAATCTTTGGATTTTTTTGATCTCCCTGGTGTCAATGAGCAGTGATTCTGCAGTTTCTGCTAATGCATTCCCCTACCAAAGGTTTTGGCTGAGTCGCACGGCTTCAGAAGATGCCGAGGTCGCTTCGGGCGAGAATTTCATGCAACGCCCGTGTTGTCTGGACTTCTTGCTCGCATGTTGCAAAGGCCGAAACTGCCGCAGTGTCCCGGAAACATGGGCGCTCACGAGTTTTTAGAGGTTTCCTTCAGACTTGGGTGTGCATTGAAATAATATTGATTCCATCAATAATTCCCTGGAATAAGGGAAATAGACCAGTCTACCCAGCCAGGGCCAGGGTGTCTCCCTCTTACAATACAATACAATACACACCAGGTCGTTGGTCGTCGAAGAAGCCGAGTCTCGGCCTTGCCGAGTCTCGAAGGACATGGCGCACAACGTTCTCCGCTTTCTCCGCCACCAAGACGGAGGAAGCGCCACAAACGCAGCGCCTCGGTCACTGGAGCTAGTGCATCATTTTGCCAAAGAGGACCAAATGAATTATTGGTGATTGGAGGTGAAAGCTGCTTGTGCGTCCTTGGGATGGGTCGGGGTGAACTATATATATATAGTTACATATATAGTTATATATAGTTATATATAATTTATATATAAGTTATCATTTACATATTTTATATACATTGTAATGTATTATTGTAATACCTTGTATACATTTGGAAACATGGGGCAAGGAGCACCTGCCCCCAAACCCATCTGCCGATCCTTCTACCGTCCATGGCCTCGAGCTGGATGTGCCTGCGGTAGTGGCAATGATATGGATCCTTTGGTGAGACCTTTCACACTCGGATATGTCATGTTGGGTACGACGTGTTATTTTGTTTTATTTTTAATTTTTTGTAAAGGTCCTGGAGACTGAGCCCGAGATGACATTTGTAACTCATTGACCCATTCTTGTTTTGCTTTGAGATTCATCACATTCTTGGACAGTTGGGTGGTCACTGTCATCACCTGGAACATGTCATCAATCTTAGCAAGTCCCTCGAAAGCAGCTCACTCCGCGGGATGACGTTACTCGTGACATAATGGTGTGACTGGGCGAGCGAGGTCACAGCTCGCACAAAGCTTGGACGAGCTTCAGAGGAGCGGAAGAACGACACGGCCGTCGTTACCGTCAGAGCAGTGACCCCGTCGATTCAAAAGTGAGAACGCAAGCTACCAGACTGATGCTGACTGTGACCAATTTGTGTGTGTGAGGAGGACCGACTTGGTCTTGGCCCAGTCAGGCAGCTGCTGTGTGTGGCGAGTTGGTTGGTTGGTTGGTTGGTTTGAACCAATGACTTATTGACCAATCAATGGTTTGCCCTCAACATATAGATTCAGATGAAGAAACGAATGGTCATAAGCCTACATGAGGATCAAAAGCAGATGGTTGTTTCCTCCAAAAAGCCGTCAACCTCAGATGCGTGCTTGTTTCTACTTCCTTTGTTTCTTTTCGACACCTGGGACAGCCTGAGCAATTTGTAAGATCAGAGTCTGTGCACTTGCACATCCACAATCGAAAGGACACAGCGACAATCATAGAGATTTGGATGACCAAACTATGCACCAACCATTGGTTGGGGTCGTTTCTCATCGTGTCTCACATGTTGCTACTTCAAACGTGGAAGGCTTTGGGACTGAAGACTTCGAGGTGTGGCATCGGCCTGTGAAAAGAACGATCAGAAAAGGGCGAAAAAGCGAACCGAGGGAAATTGCTTTGGCTCCCACTAGCGATGGCCTCCAACCAAATGGCTTTGGCTCAGAAAGCGAACAATTCGGGAATAGTCCCCTCGAACACTTCCACGTGTTGTTGGTGGAAGGGCTTTGAGTCTCGACTGGTAGGGGTTGACCGAACATCTGGGCTGAGAATGGCCGTTCGGCACTCGTGAAGTTCTCATATGCTTCTGCGGTTGAACATGGGAATCTGGGGGAGAACTTCTCACCTTGAGATACTGGCTCAGTTTACCAAGGTAATGTTGAAAGACTTGATCAGATATCCATTATATAAATGGGCCTGAGTTGAATCGAGGGAGGCTTGCAGCCAATTTGTGAATCGTTTATCCTCCCTTCTACGAACGCTTTGGTGGAAGCAAGACAGCTTACATCAAAGGCTTGCACAAATCCAGACACAAAAACACGGGTCACAACAGTCACAAAGGACACAAACAATGAGGTGCCGTTCTCTTTGCAAGCGTTCCATCTGCCATGCATGTGACCTCCCACGTCCGATGACGCCTGAGGCGGAGGCCAAAGAGATCCGCGAGGAAGCTGCGAAGCCTGACTTGTGGAATGATGCTGCGGGTGCGCTTGGCCCTTAAGACTGCACCCGGTGCAACCAGCCGAACTGGTAGGGAGGGGTCGATTTGTGGACAGATGTAGAAATGCAGAAAGCATGACAAAGTTTCGTCGGCTGACTAGAACAACCAGGCAAAGCCTTTCCTAGACTTCTAGATGCGCATTTCGTGGATTTCGGGCCCAAGAGTTGTCTTGCGCCTGAGGCAGGCTGTTATAGCCAAGCTTCAGCGCCATGTCCCCAGTTGCAACCGTCCAGAGGGGAACTAGTTTGGCCTGGATCTGGCTGGATGAGGCCGAGGCCTGACCTGTACGAATGCCAAACTGGTCCAACCCATTGAATCAAGATCACAAGTGCGGGTGGTCAGTGGTTCCTTGATTCCCACATCTCAGGTGTACCGCTGGTCCTTCAGTCTTCCGCAGTAGCTTTGAAGGGCTAGCAAGCTTGTGCAAATAGATGGAAACAGGGCCTTTGGCTTGCTTCCCTGATGGATGTCGTTTTTTTCATACAAGTATAGCGTGGACAAGGGCCTAGATGTTGTTTCATTCAGTGATATTTCGTGGAAGTACCCAGCGAGCTGGCTTCATTTCTTGGCAGAAGAGATCAAACAGATCTGATCTAAGCAGCATCCAATGACCGTTCATTGTCATCAATTACCACTAGGATTGGAGCTTTTGGACAGTTTGGTTTTCGTTGGACCAAACTTCAACCCTGCACTGGTTGGGCGCCTGCCAGTGGAGTAGGTGCAGCATGGCAGCATGATGGCGACATCTACTGTTGACTGGTAAGTCATGAAGCAAGGAGAGAGATTACTCAAAAACCACCTAACACAGACCTCCAATGATAACCATCAATCACCTTTTGCTCCCTTCCTGCATTGGCTGGCTGAACCGAGAGACCGGCTCGACCCAGATCCTTCGCCAGGTCTGGAGGCTGTGGAGAAACGCGCTGCGGCCTACCGGAGCATTGCTGAGGAGGTGCAGTGGAACAAGCGAAGCAAGCTCACCGGGGTGATGGATGGGTTCCTCCGAAGGACTAACAGTTAATCTGCAATGAACTTGGAAAACATTATCAAGCTGCAAGCTATGTCAAACTCATCGTTTGCTCCTTGGAAGAGTGAACGTGATGAGGTTTAGTCAGTCTGACAGGTTTTGTAGATTTGCTCATTGTTGGTGCATCGAAGTGTAGTAGGCATTGCTTTGGGATCTTCAGCAGAGGTGTTGTGCAGACTAAGGGTGACTAGGGCATACAGTACCGTTCTATAACATCAAGACATGCACCGAAAAGCTCGCAGACATCTACCTCTAGGGTTAGAGTCGCCACCCTGGAGCCCTCCAAAACCCAGGTGCAAACAGCCTTGGAGTCGCCACCTGAGCAAAGCCTGGTGGATGACCGGCGCCCTACGCGCCACGTCCTGAGGTTGGCCGAGGAAGCTGAGAATGCGGGTGACCTCGATGAGTCTGCCATGCTGCGGGATGAGGCGGATGAGGTTCTTCCGTCCACGTGAGACAGCCTGGTGCAACGACATCTCGGGTCCAAAATTCAAACAAGTTGTTTCAGGACTTAGCCCTCGATCAAGTCATCAACCAGAATGAACCAGCAACGGTTTGCCCAACAGCTCCGTGCCGCCACGTTCCTCCCGCTCTTCGGAGGCCTCGATGGCCTTGCAGCGATGGGACTCCGAGGTCTCCCAAGCGGAGGCGGTGCGTCGTTCGGCGGTGTGGATTGGACATGACCGGTCCGTCGTTTAGGTGGGAACGGGCGTTCGTTTTTTGTTTGGACGAAGGAAGGACCACCCCCCTAAAAGGTTCTTGAAGGTAACTCAAGGTTCCCCAGAAGGAATATGTGCCAAGCTGGATCCCGAGTTGGACAGAAGATGTGCACCGAATATCACCGAATTATGTGAATATATAGGTGAACATATGTGAACATGCTCGGGGACTTAATATGACTTAATTGTTTTGCTCAAGATTCGTGGACCTCAGAGGTCGATCCTAAGGTCAACCCTCAGAGGTGGATCCTATGCCCTTCCCGGCGAGACTGGTTTTTCGATGTCATCGAGTGGGAAAGAAATGGAAAACAGTTGAAAAAGGGACTTCGTGTCGTAGGTAGAATCTGCAGAACTGATGAAAGGGATCCCTGAAAAGAACTCAAAGACTGCAACACACTGATAGGAATTATATGGGCTTATCATGACTTATCAACTACCGATCGCCGATACCTCTTCGATTTTGTCCCTGCTCACATCACAAATCACTGAACTTCTCCTTGCCATGGTGCACGATCATGAACGACAGTCGGCCGGTAGGTGCCTGGTAGGCCGGCATGTTCAAGCACATCGATGCACATCGTTTGCCACAATCCTGTTCTTCTGAAACTCAAGGTCTGCGATCCCCGTGCCCACAACCCCATTTTTAACATGGTGTGCTTCGCGATTTCACCGTTTGAATGAAGCTGCCTACCTGGATCCTTCCCCGGAAGCCAGGTGGAGATGATGATGGGTGGGCACTATGATGGCAACAGTTGCCAGCATGCAGCTGAGATGAGATTCAAGACTTATGCTCACATCGTGGAGTGAAATGACATCTTCGTTGCAGGATTGTCCTCGGGCTGTGCGCGAGCATGTAAGTTACACACCTTGGCCATGATGTTTCCAAGTTGGCCATCGCTACTACTTGTAGGACTAGGGGGAGGCCATCGCTATTCGAAACCAAAGAAGAGAGACATCGCCATGCAGTGCACGTTGAGCGACCACCGGCTAACCACCTGACGGGCGCTTCATCTTGAGGATCAACATCTTTGCTGGCGCTGGTGGCGATGAAGCATGTGATTGGGTTTGCATGCTGGAGCTTCTGCCTCGGCATGCCTCAGCTGTCAGATGTATGCATGGTATATCATGGTATGCTATGCTATGCGCATGGTATATTATGGTATGCATGATGTTTGCGTCGCATGGAGTCCATCTCAGGCGCATGTACACGAACTATGCTCAGCAAAAAGGCTGGTCAGCCAAACGCGTGGGCTTCACTGAAGGCGGGGGCTGGGGGGGAAGGAAGGACGGCGACGGCGAAGGAAGGTGCGAAAACGTGGGCATGAAACATCATGATCATCATGAAACGCGTTCCTCACCAAACGGTTTGCTGTGATTTTTAGGGAGTTGGCTCAGAGAAGGTTACCCTCATTGAACCTCCAGTCAAGCGCCATCGACTTTGGAGCATGAGGGTTTCGAACGATTCTCTGGATGTGAAGAGGCCACGTCCGTGGCAGAGTGCCATCCTGCCCGTGGCCACAGGTGACAACATTGGCCTCAAGAGTCCCGACCTCAAGATCCGGGCACCGGACCGGGCAGGGCTGTTCACGACGGTGGGACGGTGGGACGGTGGGATGGTGGGACGGACGCAGAGCACGGTGGGACGGTGGCACGGTGGGCGGTCCAAACCGGGAGCCCTGAGATTGACGTCTTATTCTGTTCACCAGGGTCCCCTGGTTTTGACCAATCTGGCTGATGGCGGTGTAGATCTTTGCAGACATGATTCACAATGGAGCGTACTGAGCTGGCAAAAGCCGCTAGTCGCTAGTCATCTTCTGGAAGATCTTGGCTTTTGGCTTCCGGGGTCGAAGAATGAGGGTATTTGATGGTATTTGTTGCTTGGATGGTGACTGTCCCTGGTTTGCAGTTTGCAAGTCAATTGGACCGAACGCGAGTGTGATGGCGTTGGAAGATTTGTGGAAAGGTGACCGCGTACCAGGCGTGTTACTCATGGGGTGTGACCTCTAACCATTCCAGGCGTGGACATGGAAGTTACAGGCACGGCAGGGTACAAAAGCTGCAGTGCTTGTCGAATAAAATCTATATATATATAGAAAAATGATGTAAAGTGCTAGTTTTGAAATGTTTTGAATGCTTGCCCACCTTGCCAAGACACAGTTTGATTTGAAGTAAGACACTTTGAACCATTGAGAGTAGCAAACAGCAATCATGAGTCGTTGTTGGTTTTTGTTGAGCGCTGTTTGGCCATTGGCGTTTATTGCCATCGTTGATCTGGGGATATTTGAGGTTTTTCCAAACAGAACCCTCCAGTCCACTGGGAGATTCGTGGGGCCTCCTCAGCTTGGCGCTGGTCGAAAAAGCACGGAAGGTGGATGGGTTCGGCATGATGTTTGGATCCATATTAAATATGTTAATGATGTTTGATCCACCCTAGATCTTCATTTCTGGAGGAGACTACGCTTTTGGCATGATGCGGCGAGAGACTGGCACCCACAGGCGAGGTCGAAGTAGATGCTTTTCGGTTCCGGGGACTCACTCCACAGTGAGTTTCTTTGGGAAAAGCTGGAAGAGCAGAATCCAAGTAACCTAAAAAACCGTCGAGTTTCTCCTCGTGATGGTGAAAAAACGTGAAAAAGCACTGATCTCTTCCACACCAACTTGCGAATCGTCCGACGATCCTGCCCTCAAAGCCCTTCCGGGAACTGATCGGCCCCGTCAATCTCAGTGTTACTAGTAGCAAGAATGCTCCTAGTAGCGATGCCAGCAGCCCCTAATAGCGTCCTTGCTCCTAGTAGTAAGGCCAGGAGCCCCTAGTAGCTTCTTGCTACTAGTAGTAATGCCCCGTCTCTCCAGGCTGGTGCGGATTTGGAATGGCAGACGTCAGACCACCTTCGCGGGAGTGGAGGTAAGACCGATGGCCCGCTCCGTCGTTGATGGCGGATTTCTTATGGCGGAACCTGATCGAGTGACGGAAGTGAAGTTCGTGAAGATCAGATGAAGATATTGAAGTTGTTGGACTTTACTGACTTGTAGGGAGTGAAGAGCGTGAAGTTTCGCCCCCCCCGTCAGAGATTCCCTTTGGATCCAGCCACCCGAAAACGAGTCGCACCAGTCAGACATCTTTCCGACTTCGTTCCTAAGGGTCCTAAGGGTGTGGAGACATGGACTACACAAACTTTTGTCCAAGCAATGCAAAGGTATATTTCTCGCAGAACTATCAGCGATATCATCCGTATGATTTGAAAGCCTTGGTTCTTGAACGCTTTGGTTCACCCATTATATATATATAATACTTTCTGTCTTGTGAAGGCAGGCAGTGTCTTTCGATGTCTTTTGTTCCGGGCCATTTTGATGAGTGGCCGTGGCATGCAGCATAAGGCATAAGGATCATAAGGCGAGTGATTCCATAACGACAAACCCTTCCACTGTGGGTTTCATCGTTTCATTCGCCCTGGAGATCCAAAGTTTTGCCACAGATCAGATGACCTCAGCAAGGGTGTTTTGAAACATGAAGAAACAGCTCCTTGTTTCACCTGGTGCGGTACTCTGCTCCCACTCGACCCAGTGCCGGTAGACTGACCCGCTACCGTTGACGCTTTCCACCGACGCCGCGCGCGCCTCAGGTGGTACCACTCTTGCCCGACGACGCGGTCGACGCGCTGGAAATCGATCCCAAGGAGCTCACGTGATCTCTGCATGTTGGTCGTCCCACTCTTGGAGTCACATGCGGATATATAATCCTGGTCACCTTTTGGCTTATAGAATGGGAGGGGTCAACCCCTCCCATAAAACGATTTATAGATACCAGGGGATAGGAGAATAGGAGGGGTGGGCCCTCCCATTTTTTTGAGAAAACGGGCTTGTTGCAGTGTGTGTACAAGTTTTTTTTGTACTTTTTGTCAGTTGATGTGACCTGCACTCATCCGATCCGTAGCCGTTTGATCATTAATTAGATCAAGATGAGCGCTCCTGCTGGATTACCGATTACCGGGTCCATACAATGTCAGAAGATGTCCTGCCAAAATGGTAAGATGCAGCCCCCGGTATTCAATGAGAAGCATGAGTGTTGGGAAGCACATTTGGTGTATTTCAGTAATTTTACTTGTGGGTTGCCCTTTGGGTCAATAACTTCACAGCTTTGGGACCTGGCAGGATCTGGGAAGCCTATAGGCCACCTTTTCTCTAAAACCTGGCAGTCCCCACACCTCATCTCTATAAAATGGCATGCCTTAACCCTCTTGCCACTGTATAAACAGGTCTGCTTGTAGACCTGTTGTGGAAATATGTCTACTGCCCGCAGGCTGAACATTGCCAGTGGCCAACATAGAGTTTGCGTGTTAATGTCACAGCATTGAGGCCCAGTCCAGCAGACTTGGCAGATCCCCGTAGGGCCTGGCAGCCCCCCAGCCCAAAAAAGTGGCCAACAATGATTCGGTATCTACTGTGTATAAACAGATCTATTTGTGGGCTGCCTTTTGGATCAAGAAAATAACTTCAAAGCATTGGTGCCCAGCTCAGCAGACCTGGCAGGATCTGGAAAGCAAACCTTTTCTCTATAAAATGGCATGCCTTGACCTCCGCACCACTGTATAGAAACGTTTGCCTGTAGACTTGTTGTGAAAATTTTCCTAGGGCCCACAGCAGCATTTTTTTTTGGCAGGGTGAACATTTTATGGCAGGGAGAGCCTTTGTGGCAGTCCAGCTGGGGTGCGATGGGAAGCTGCAGTTGCGCTTGGGTAGCCTGCAGGCCCTGATTGGAATAGCTTCCAACCCACAAAAGAACAATCACCTGAGTAGCGCAGAAAAGTGAAGACAAAAAAGGATCCAATTTTGTACACATTTCGGAGACGCACAAAATAACAGAAAAATGACATGGAACAAGATAAATCAAGCTTCAAAGACTCAAGAAAATTATAGCGCCCAGAAATCTTTTTTAATTAGAAAGCATGAAGCCTCAGAAGTGATTGAAATTCAATGAAAACCATAGCCAAACAATAGAAAAATGACCTGCAGACTACTCATTTTATATAAACTCACTTGAGGTAGATTTTTCAATTTATACACGTGTGAGGGGTTGGGTCCCCCATTTTATTTTTATAGAATGGGTAGAAGGACCCCACCTGGTGAAAGGTATGCGGGATGATATATATATATATATAGATATATATACTCAATAATATATACAAATATATTATATACATTTGTTCAATATTGTCTATTCATTTTTTTTGGGGGGTTGCTATTTGATGCCCGGGGGTGTGTCTCAGTTGGGGATTTGGGAAGTTCAGACCAGTAGATTGACTGGCAATCCATTCATTTTGAGACAGGCGCACATGTAGACAATGTTTTGGACTGGTTTGCAGATGATAGAGTGGTTGAGCTTGCAACTTGCAACTGTGAAGTTCCTCTACTCGCTCAAAAATAGTCACAACTCGACCAAACACAGTTCTTTTTCATCTGGCTTCGTCGCGCAAGTGGAAGCGATGCAGTTGTAGCGCGTTTTCGACCACGCCAGGTGGCACACCTTTCGATCAGGTGGCAAGGGTGGCCAGAATGTGAACAAAGTTGAGACAGGCCGGGAGGGTGACAGATGTGACAGGTACACTTTGCGGCGCGAGCCGAAACGTGCCATATTGCATCAATTGTTTACTTTTGGGGTGGCCGAACCGCATTTGACTGTTTGAACTTCCTGGCTCAAGGAATATCAAGGAACTCCTCGGATTCCAATTGCTATACTTGATTGAAGCCTCCTTTGCTTCTTCCACCAAGCCTAAATGAGGCTTTGTGGAACAGTGGACTTTTTCAACATTGAGAAAGGCTACTATGGCTTCATAAAGCAGGCCAGCGGGGAGGACATTTTTGTCTATTGCGCAGCCATCATTGGAGGTGACAAGCTGGCGCGAAATGATCATGTCGAATACGAGGTTGCATATGACAAAGGAATTGGTAAGCGCCAGGCCGTTTGTGGCCGCTTAACAGATCCGTCCATGAAGGCTTCATTTGACCCAGCTCCCGAGCCGCAGGAATCGAAAGTCAATACAATCGAGATGGATGACATGTGGCAAATGGAGGTGCTCGATGAGAGCGAAGACGAGGCCTTTGAGGCCAGTGACCAAAGCTCTGAGCTCGAGCAAGAAGATGAAGCAGAAGAAGCCACGGTATCCCCTGAGAACAGGAAGATGGTGTCGCTATCAGAGGTGTTTCTCACCCACAACGCCATATCCTGCAGATTCAGAACGGGCAGATTGTTTGATGAGGTGATTGAGGACATTTGCTCGAGCGAGATGGCTTTTGATGACTTCCCGCCCATTGTTTGCACCCGGTGGAGCCAAAAGTGGTCATCAAAAACCGGCGCTTGTTCATAGCGCGGACCTTGGAGCGAATGCAAAAGCTGAAGCTGATCTCGATTGTTGAGATTCCATTTGACCACGCTTCTTTGCAGCAAGGCTGTGACGGAGTAGCTTCCAAATGGAATCGCCCACACTCAACAACCAATGAAAGCCGGTATGTGAAGGTGAAAAGCTCATTCTGGAGCTATCAGAGTGAGAATATGCTTCACAAACTGCCGAGAAGACAAAGGGGAGGTGATGAAGCCATCATGAAGCCCGTTCTTTTGTCTCAGAAGGCAATGGCAGGGCGAGATTTGGGGGTGAAGCAAAGTGCCAAGCAAGTGAAGTGGCACTTGCAAGAAAGTCTGCCAACAACGATCATGGAGAAACTCGGTACGCGGTACGGAATCTCATACGAGGTTTCCATCCACCCGCAGGACCCCAGAGTTGGGGCAATCAAGCTAATTCCGCGAGGGAATTGCCCGCATGAGTACAAAATAGGCATCTCGCTGTTCAAAGAGGCTGTCGCACGAAGGTACCAGTTGAAAAGCGCCAGTACTGCTAGTTGTGTTTAGGCCTGGCAGGCACTGGGTGCACACTCCATCACTGAATCTCACGGGCATGCGTATCCGCCCACCGCGCAAACACCAACGCTGTACTGCCGCCATCTGGATCATTGTGGTGATGGCGTCAAAAAGACAAGTCTTGCCTGCTGCATCCTCATGCTTGCTTGTGTTTGATTACGGTGATGGCGTCGAGAGAAAGACGATATGGAGATTGAATGCTTCGGCACCACTTACACCGAAGGATCAGCGCGAAGCAGACAAACAAAAGTCCCTCGCCAAGAAGCGAGGCTAAGACAAGCGGAAACATTCGCAAAGTGCCATCGGCGGTTCGTTTCACTCTGAGACAGCGACAGCGATCATGGTTGCAACAGGTGCCTTTTTGCGGGTAGGGCTTGGATTGTTTGTTATTGAGGAAGTCACGAGACATGTGATACCAGACGGCTATAATACAACCACCACGTGACCATTGATTGGTTTGCCACAAGATACGAAATCAGGCTTTTGGGTTGTGGGTTTGCCTGAGCCTGAAAGTGGGAGACTGTTTTCAAAAACTGAAGCAGCCTGTCAAACTCTGAGGGACATTTCCGCCGTTGAAGTACCACACAGTTTCCCTGTTTCTTTTTTTGCTTCGCTCAGAGCATCCAGGAACCAGGTAAGGGCAAACATGTGGTCAATACTCAGCACACTCAGCACTTGATGGACATGATAAATGTCCAAGTACTGTGTGTCCTATTTGTGGCTTGGAGTCTGGATCTCCATTTTCAATTGAATCTTGAACAGCCTGCAGGCGTGCGAGTCACCCACGAGCCGCAAGCTACTCAGTGGACGTACACGAAGGGTTTCTTGCCCTTGTGCTGGATGAAGTGTAGCACTCAAGCTCAGTCGCACCGTCGAGCAGAGCTGTAAAACAAAAACTGGGACTTTGTGGCGCAAAAACTGGCACATTGCTTTGTTAGAGTCCACTCGTCGACGGCTCAAGCACCTCTGAGAGCCCAGATGCTTGAGTTCACCGCGTTTGGAGCACCGTGCTTTGACGTTGCCCGAACACGTACCTGAACCACTGAACCACCCTCCGTTCTTTCGCCACCAGAAGCAAAACAAACAAAATAACATAGAATAACCGAATCCACGACCAACTGACGGGTAACAGTCTGTTTTGTGATGGTTTCATGGAAATGTTCATCCCACCAGGCCCCACCAAACCGTTGTTTTCACCGTTTGGCCGTGGTTTTAACGTCTCACCCCCGGTTCCTCATGGCCCGGCGGCCCCTGGGGACGCTGCGCGCCGTGGGCGTGGAGAGCGAGGAGCTGGACTCCATCCTCGGCAGGGAACATGTGGACCTGCTGCGGAGGTCCAAGGCGCTGAGTGGAAAAGACACGGAACAAACGCGGAAGACCTGCGTGGTGTGAAGGGGGGGTGGCAGGCTTCTCATACAGCATGCAACATGCGTAGTTCATGTCCGCGTTCAGTGTTCTTTGCCTACTCTAGACTCTGTGATAGATCGTTGCAATCCAGGGATTTAACGTATAACAAAATTACTATATAGATCTATATAGTATAATGTTGTCGCGCACCGGACTGCAGTGCAAAGTAGTTGTCATGGGATGGACCGTGACGTGCAAAGCACTGAAGACGGATGCCGAGCTTCATAATTACTAATGGCCCTTGCTTGCTGCAAGGAGCGTACCATGCATCTTGCAGATACCTTCTCAGTGTGGGAGTTGTGTGACATTGTCAAAGACAGCGCCTTCTCCACTATCAGCTCCTCCGCCGCTAGCAAGCCCGAGATCCAACCTACCACGCAGACTTCAGAGGAAGTAGCTGAAAGCGAGGTGGATGACGGAGAGATTTTAGAGGACATTCGCACGTTCATGACCCAAGAGGAAAATGAAGAGGAGAATCTTGGCTGTTCGCATCTGCTACGAGGCTTCTGGCAGCCGGATGGTGGGCCAGGCACAGCCTTCAACCCACAGCTACAGCTGGTGACCGGCCCGCTCACACTCCTGCAGGTTGAGCTGCGTGCTCAGGTGGAAGCGAATAACACCTTGGAGTTGTGGCTGCTTGGGGGGACTCGTTGGGGTGAAACGGTCAAGCAGCTGGCTCCCCAGGACGCCGAGGAAGATGAGACGCAGCCAGGTGGAGAGGCGGAGCATCCGAAAGGAGCCGGCCGCTTCTATCGGATCTTAACCTCTGCCCATAGTGTGAGCAAGCACGGTGGACCTTTGCGGGTTCTCTTGGATTGTGAGGTACCAAGAGGGGAGACTCTTACTTTGCTACTAGCACGAGGGAGCTACATGAAAGATTCAGAGAAATCTGCCCAACTTGAAGAAGCTCCGAACTCGCCCTCGCGCCGGCCTTCCGTGCTGCACGCCGAGAGTGGTCGACGCTTGTCCTCCCAGATCTTGCCACCGGACGCCGGTCTCGGCCGCCGTCGGGTGTCGACTCAGGAGTCCCTGACGAAGCTGGACCGCAAGATGTCTGTGTCTCGCGAGGGCGGCGACTCCCCCAGAAGTGGCCGCCGGGCCTCCCAGAGCGGAAAGTCCTCAATCTCACTGGGCCGAAAGTCCTCGGTGTCATTGGGCCGAAAATCCTCGATATCACTTGGGCGTCGGATGTCTCAAACAGGTGAACTGGAAGAACTTGAGTCCGGTGAGAATTCTCCTTCCCGAAGACGTCAGGACAGACTAGGCCAGGTTGTGCTGCCTGCTTTGCCGGTGGTAGTGCAAGACGATGAGGAGCCAGAGATGGTCAAACAGAGTCCCAAAGTGGAAATGGCAACATTGGTGCCAGACTTTCTCGTTCCAGCCCCAAAAGCTGTGGTCCGAGGGTGGTCTGCTGAGGATGACCATTTTGAAGTTCGAATTTGGACCACTTCACCGCTGAAGAAGAGCCCCAAAGCCCTGACGGAACCTCCGAAACCATACGAATTTGACAATTCAGCCTGGCAAGGTCAGGTACAATCATTGAAGCAAACGTTTGAAGACTTAGAGGAAGTTCATGAGGAAAGCCTTTGGCACTTGCGAGCAGACACCGCCTGGCATGCCCGAGTGAGCCTCAATGAAGATTTGGATAAAGTTCAGGCTGAGCTCAGACGCTTACAGCAAACAGATGTGGAACACATTGATTTCTTCAAATACTGCCGATCATATCGGCAGGGAGGCTTCATGCTTTTGGACTGTATCGGGAAGGAGCTTGGCATACGAGAACGAATGGGACCTGGGAAAAAAGGCGTGCTGAGGAGCCGGGCAGTGTTGAGCGTCTCCACATGGTAGTAGACCGTACAGGTGCCCAGAAGAAACTGCAGTTTCAGTGAACAGATGCCGACCTGCACTCTAGAATTTTGGAATCTGTGATATCCCAGACTATCGATGTTTGTATGGAATACTTGCATGCATTTACCCTTCATCACTCTAAATGTAAGTGACTATTCCACACAGGATGGTCTGGGTATTGTGGCAAGCCATGCGATTGGTGGCTCTGGCTGAGGTCCGGCATCGCAGTCAAGTGTACTGCAGAGCGCAGCCAAATTCTTAACAGAAAGAAGGCGAGACATCGATGTGAATGTCAGTTTGCACGCATTTGATTGTAAGATTCCGTGTGACATGTTGTACCGACCAGGGATAAACTTTGGCAACAAAAGCCATCCATAGACATCACAATGTCTTGGAAAGATATGATTGGCTGGTTCCAGAAAGTAAAACTCATCAAAACTCTAGCCGCCCAATCCATCCTGAGCGAGCGCATGTTCAGGCTCTAGCCCAGCTGAAAGCGAAGCTGCTGATGATTCAGGTTCCATGTCATGGGATGTTGGCAACAGCAGTGTGTGTGGATGTAGTTCTTGCATTTCTTCTTCCCCGGCATGGTGGGAGTGAGATCGAAGTGGGCGGAATTTGGGCGAGTGAACCGACACAGGATTTGGTCATATCTTCCATTTGTGAACCTCAATTTTCTATTCCATGATCAGGAGCAACAAAAAGTGAAGGAACTTCAATCTATTCGCGGCGACCTGGTGTCAGCAGAGCTCCTTGGCTGAAGAGTTGACTTTTTGGGGGTTGGTTCGGGTGGATACTGTCGAATACTCTCGATCATGCTACTGTATATATCATGTTGCAGCCAGTGAACTTGTACGTAAGGGTTGACCCTGCCGTAATTTGGATTGACACAATGGCCCGAAGGGCTGGTCGAAAATGAGGACTTTATAGACTAGGGAACATTAAAGGGTCGCTTCTACCGTTAGACAAGTGTCAGCTAGTACTTCCTAAAAGCTAACACCCAAGACATCCCAAGACCATCCAAGACCCATTCAATTCTGGGGAGGATGAATTGCATGAGGAACAGACTGATCAAGATGTGGGCTCTTCCCGTGAGGTGGGGTGCACAGGTGCGCAACTATGTGCTGCAACCCTACACTTTGGTCAAGGAGCTTGTGGAGAGTCTTCAAGCGTACTATAGGGATCTATAGGGGGCACGACCTTTCCTTGCTGCCCCTCCTGTCCTTACCTTCCGAAGACTTCCTTCCTCTCTCCCTCCTTCTCTCAGGGTCCCCTTCAACGGCTTTAAATCCCTCATCAGTTTGTGAAATGCTCGGACTGGTTGCTGGACTGCAAGCAAAATAACCGACCTTCTCGGGTGAACGACTGGGCTCCGGCCATCGGAAACCGGAGAATTCAGCAAAACTTCTCTTGACATGGCAAGAAGAGGCGTATGTCATACATAGGGAGTCTCTGGGTAAGCGAACCTGATGATGTTGACCATTTCTGTTACGTATGGTCAGTCTACCGCATGTTTTGGATGGTGGGGCTTTTGTGTAGTGTTGTGGCCCAAGCATTGGACAAGCAAAGTTGGTTGCACTGAGTCCTTCATCAGTGGAGTCCTTCGCCAGCTTTTAGTGGTTTCTTTGGACGACCCTGACCATATTAGCATTGTAATGACCAGGAGCGCTGTTTGTAGAAAAAATTGGGTAAGCAAGTTATATGACATGGGTGACACAGGGTTTCAATCATACCTTTTCGAAAAAGCGGCCTTTTGACCGCTGCAGGATGTCCGCAGCGGTCATGAACGAGGAGATGCTGACCGAGTCCTCAACGGGGTGGCTCCGGCAATCTTCACTATTTTGGAGTCCAATTACTACTAGTAAGGCACTTGATTCTAATAGCTTTTTGTTACTACTAGTAAGGCACTTGTTACTAGCAGCATCCTTAGATGTAGAGAGGTGCTTTAAAGGATATTTTTAGAGCATGTCTTTCACTTAAAAAACTCTTGACTAACATAGAAGTGCACAAAATTGCACCTGGGAAGACACGTTTCCTTGACCAGTCAGCCGAAGTTTAATTGCTTTTGTTTTTTTGTTCCTTGGTTGTGATAGTGCTTGTGTAGTTCGCCAGGATCTGGATTCTCATGTGGATGCCTTGCTGCGCATGGATTCGCAGAAAAAGCCGGACGAAGTTGTTCGACACGTCGCCATAGTAATTAAGTGAAGTGAGAACATACAGCTTTTCAACGGAGGAGTTCAGAGCAACACACCCTTTGTGTGTGTTTTTTGACTCCTAGGTCCTAGTAGCTTCTTGTTCCTAGTAGTAAGGCCAGGAGCCCTTAGTAGCGTCCTTGCTCCTAGTAGCGATGCTCCTAGTAGGCCAGACTCATGTTCCTTCCTTTGTTTCCGTTGGCATCAGCTGCTCCTCTCACGTGATTTTCCTCGTGCAGGCCGGCCACTTGAGGTTTGAACGGACTGGAGGGACTCAGACGGACGACGATGATGGTGATGATGATGATGATGATGATGATGTGCTGCAGCTGATCAGAGCCAAAACATCCTGTTTTGAGTGCTTCTGTGCTGCAGCTGCTCGGAGAAGCCCATGGTCGAATGACACATATGACAGAACAACTAGTAGTTTGTATTAAATTTACATGACATGCCTTTCCCGTGTGTCAGGCTATGGCTGGGCTGCCCGGGGACTCAAACGTCTGCCATTGGGTGTCCCCCCAGCAAATTCATGTCCCATTCTCGCAAATCTCCAACGATTCGGAAACTCGACTTTTGAACACACGAAACTCGGACCACCCACTAGTGAGATGACGCCAGACCAGAGGTTCTGTTGCTGCGGCGGGGCAGATGACGCCTCGGCGGTCGCAGAGATCCCCACGCTGCAAGCGATGCCACAACGCGACCCCGTGAGCGAACTGCAACAGGAGACCGGTCTCGTGCGCGGGACGGGGTGGGTTGTTTCCAGTAGTTTTGGAATGGCTCATGTGACATTTACGGAAGATATAGGTAAACTTCATGAATGGATTTGACCCTTCGGCTGGTGCAGACTGAATATTGGATGGAGCAGAACAACTCTTCGGACAAGTATTTCTTGTCATCCTGCTGTCCAAGTCTGTCCGTATACCTTTACACGATTTATTGCCCATGTCAAAAGTGGCAGATGGCGACCTGTAGAGTCGGGCGCTGGGTATAGATGTTTTTTTACTTTGTTTTTTAATAGTCATGCTTTGTGTGATGCGTTAGCCTCTTTATGTGAGGCTTCTGTGAGGATTCCAGGACTATTCATAAAACAATTCAGGGCTATTCCTAAAACTTCCCAGGACTATTCCTAAAAGTGCCAAGGTAAGCACCAGGGAGAAGAGCTAATACTAAGAAAGGCAGGACTATTCATAAGAACAAGCCAGGACTGTTCCTAATCACAAGAGCCAAAGAAAGACCAAAACAGCTGATTTGCTTAGTCTATTTGCTTTTTAGTAGCACTTAAAGAACGGACAAACAGAAACAAAGCAAGAGACAAAGAGAGAGAGAGAGAGAGAGAGAAAGAGAGTGACAGTGATGTATATAGAGAGAGATAGCTAGATAGAGAGAGAGAGAGAGATGGTGAAACAAAGGCAACTCGAAAGCAATCCAGGGACCCCTCAGTCAGGAAGGTTCTTGCTTTCCAGATCAAGGATGTTGCCAAGACCCGCTGCACATTTTTTGCTTTGGTGGACACTGAGCCAAGCACGTCGAAGAACATGTCGAAGTTTGAGAAACTTAGAGGAACGTAACTTACAGTCTACAGTACAACATGCTGCAGTGACATGACCTTCAATCAGTAGCCCTCCTACTGCTACTGTCTGAGCACCTTAGAGAGTCACCATGGCAGCAGGGAGTCCATCGTCCAGCTGCATTGATTCAGAGGTGGCAGGTCTTTGTCAAGACTTGTTGGAGGTGGAGTCAGAGATGCTAGATCAGCATTCAGGCTGAAGGGACCAATGAAAGGAAACCGTTTGTTTTGGTCAAGTCACAGTCTTCGCCTTAGTCACATCTATGGTTCCAGGGCTTGCCTAGCTTGTCATAGGTTCAGGGAGGCCTTAACTCCAGGTAGAGCAGGATACCAGGGCTACATCCAGGATATTCCATTCTGTGGGTCAAACCATGTGGGCACTCACTTCAAAGACATTTCAGTGATTCAACAACAGAATTTTCAGACACAAACATGGGCCATGGGCCAAGGGACATTAGAAATTTATCCAACCCACTCCAAGTGAGGCAAACCCTTCTCCAGTGCACTAGAAATACTCGAGTTCACTTGTCTCACATGGCCTGAGGAGTGATTGCGAGCAAGCCATCTTCACTGGGCCAAGGAGGCCCCAGTATTTGAGGTGGGCAGAGGTGATCGTTGATAAGCTCGGGCTTCGCAATGTGAGTAAGGTGAACGCCCACAACATGGCAAAGAATCTTGGCTAATTAGGCTAATATAGCCTCAAATAGCAATTTGGGCTTCCACTTTTTCACCAAAGACTTCAGCAGTCCCAGTTTCCCACCTCTTGGCTGAAGAATTGTAATTACTCACATGGAACACCCTTCCTTGACCAGCTCATGGATCATGTCCCCACCAATTTCATGCCCTCAGGTATACAGTGGTTGAAGCTTGTGCTGGAGCTGGAACAGCGACTTACTGTATGTGTCTTGCTCAAATTTGGTTGTGGCATACATCACATGTCACACAATTGTAGTATCTGCCACTGCCATTTATCCAGTCAGAACGTGGCATGACTTGATGACTTGACCCCAAAATGATGTTGTGCAACAATACACCAGACGTGCGTGTTGCCAATCTCCAAAAAAAGATTGACAATTTGGCAAACGACTGTACGGTACACAGTACACAGTACACGTCCATAAAACAGTCACACAGTGTCACACTACAATTAATTTTACTTTTTATGTCTTTCTCACTTGCCTGAGCAGAAGACTTCCAGGTAGGTTTTCGTTCAATGTCAAGTGTCCATGACCCAACTGTCAGGTGTTAAAGAAATTGTAGGTCTTGTGCTCATGGATGTCTTCTAGGCTGACTTCAAATGTTTTGTGCCCAGGCAGGAGCTTTCCAACAACCTGACCTTTCAGTGGCGGACTTCATCTTTGTCAGAGAGGTGCCCAATGAAGAGGGAGTGGCTCAAAAAGCACTTCCAGCTGAACGGCACCTCGTCACATTGAATTTGGCCAAATGGTAATAAGCAGTCGGAGTCCATATGGTCAAGTCTAGAAGGATATTCAGGTTCCAGTTCCCTCTGTCCAACCATGCAACTGCTCACATGATTTGGGTGAGAATCATTGTGAGTCAGAGTGGGGTGAGATTACTGTTCAATACATTTTGCAGTTTACAGTTTACCGTGGAGCCGAACTAAGTGGATCACATTTTCGAAGAGATGTTGGGCAACAGTGACACTGGGCCCTGTGATCTACATGGTGGAAAGTCTTGCGCATCTGCATCGAATCAGGAGTGATGGCAAGGTTCTCCAGTGTTGGTGTTCTGTTTTTCTTGAGCCATGGGCTCACCATTTGTCATTTTTTTGGACAGGCGACAGGACTGACTACTGGACTATGAAAACTGTGCTATGTGTCTTGCAGTGACGTCTTGTAACATGGTGAAGTGCTTCTGACCCATTTCTGGCCTTGACCCATGACATACTGTTCAGTATTTTGTCATTGCGTTGTAATAGTCAGTACCGTAACATACCGAGTACAGTACACTACACGCACATACGAACATTCTGTTTCTGTTACATTCTTTTTGATCTGTGTCATGTGTCTGGGTGTAAGGAAGTGTGTAGGCTAGAGCTCATAAGGAGGAGGCAGGAGGCATTTGAAAAGTACCCTTCTGTTCATGTGCTGTCAGGATTTCTTCATCTGGGGTCCACCTTGTGGACCCTACACACGCCTCTCTTCAAAACGAGCTGATCCAACCTACAATCCTTGCCGAACTGATGAAGCACAGCCTTTCATCAAGGGCTCATTGCACATTCGTGGCTCAAATGCAATAAGACTGCCATGGTCCATGGTCATGGGCCATGGTTCATTGTCATTGCAAAAATGCAGTGCGAAGTGTGAAGTGAAGATGTGTAAAGTGCTCAAGCTTGTTTTTGTGGCCAGCACTGGCAGCTGAAGGTCTCCTTTTATGCTCCTTCAGAACAAGACTAGGACTGGTCCTGACTAGTTTCCAAAGAAGCAGCTAAGGGCACACGCAGCCAAAGGTGGTCATCATGGAGGAGGTGCCTTGACCTTGTGTTTGTCTCGGGGATGTTGGAGCCAGTAAAACTCCACCTCCACATTTGTTGTAAGAGCTGGCTAACACCGAGATGAATGTGACACTGTGTTTCCAACCCTATTGAGCAAATGATCAACTCACCTCCCGGGAACTACCCACATTGACACCTGACACCACTGCAAATATGAAGACTGCTGATACTGATATGATACCTGTGTCTCTGACACCCTTCATACAACAAGCCAAACCCTGTGCAAGTGTGTCTTGACAGTTCTATCAATCTATGGGGCTTTCAGTTTTTCTTCATATAGCTTCTGAGTTTTGCCAAAGGTTTGGGCAGGATCCTCTGCACTTATCATCTGAGGTCATGGGAATTTTCGACGACTTCCCTGGCCTGCGAAATGATCCGGATTTCCAAGACTACAAGGCTGGGTGGGGTATTCCCAGCTGACATTCAGAAGCCAAAAAGAGTATCAGGCAATGTGCGCCACAGCTCACTTACCATTTTCCCTTTGTATTGGCTTTTTGTCGCTGTCCATTTCAATTCAATGAGCTGCTTAACAAATCAAAAACGAGCTTTCTAGTGCATTGCGGCATTGCTTGTCAGCAGTATTCCTTTCCAGATTGAGGTCTGTTTTCGATTGTGAGTGATCGTTTTGGTGTGGTACCAGCAGATGTGGCATTTGTTGCAAAGAAGTACGGCCCAGTATGGCTCGAGTGTATCACCAGACTGGACCAGACTCACACCTCACCAACTCTAAGCTCTTCAGAATCTAAGTAGAAGACAGAGGACTTAGCTAAGCTGATTGCGATACGGTACATTTACAACACCATCATTAAGCTAAGCCGAACTGTTCGTTTGTTAAACAACAGTGACACCACCATCATCATATATCATATAACTTATAACTATAGACTTATTAGACTAACTATAAATTATAATATATATATATATTTATATTTATAAATGTATAATTTATATTTTACATAATATATAAACAGCAGCCAAACATCTGTTTGTTTGTCTGTGTGTTCCCATACGGTCCAGGTCCATAGTCCATCAACATGGGATATTCCATAGTCAATTTCATACTGATAGTGAGGTTAAAATGGTTTACAATTGAGCCAACTTGGCTTAGGAAAACACGAGTCAGGATTCAGGATCAGGACTTTGCATATGTTTCTCAAACCATTGACCACGGGCCATGGTTTTTAGATTGCTAGCTGCCAAACATCAAGAAGAAGACCCACGTCATTCTGCCCCTGATCAGCCACAGCGTTCCCGATACAAAGGAGACAGAGTGTTTCAGAGGATCCGCACTGAGAAAGCCAGAGTGCGAAAGCTGTTGAATGCTCAGAAATTGAAGCTGGAGAAAAAGAACAGTCCTGGTCACGACAAACACATTGCTATTTCTACTGGCCATGACTGCTCCTCTCGCATGTCGTTCAGTGAGCATGTGCAACATTTTTTCTTTACAAGAAGTTTCACTCATGCTGCTGACCAAGAAAGTTCATACTATGACAACAAACGAGGTTTTGAGCGTGACCGTCGTCGCAGTGTGCTCAGCCTTATAAAGTCACTAGTTGCTATGCTTTCACAGGTCTTCCAAGTGAATCAGGCAACTGGCAGTGATTCTCCTGCTCCAAGTCTGTTTCATATTTTGAATGCTC